ATGCTTGTCTGGATGGAGCTTCATCTGAACAGTAGGCTCCATGTTTAATAGATGTCACAGCGGAGCAGATTCACACAAGCATAGGTCTAAGGTACTGGTAATGGGCGTGTGTTAAGTGAGCACATGACCTATCTGGTTGGGACAACTGTGTCTGTCTCACGTTTTCTTCTGAAATGTCAGAGTAATATGAGATTGAAGAGGCTTTTCCCAGGTCGTGGGACTTTTGTTACCCACACGTGACTTTAATAAAACGAACAAACGGTTACTAAGAGCTCCTGAGTCAGTTTCTGAACACAGAACCCTCAAGGCTCAGAAATACAAGAACATCATCAAGATTAGAAGGTTTGGGTTGTTATGGACCAGTTGGATTGGTATCCTCTGACTGACTGCCTCGGTTACAGTCCAGAGAGAATGGAAAAGCTTGAGAGAAGACAGGTGTTTGAGTATCTGAGGCACTTGACTGTTTTAGAAGAAAATGAGAGCGAAGGAGCTGGGTGTCTGGAGAATGCCTACAATCCTTGATTAGACACAAAGAAGGGAGTTTGATTCTAGCCTGGGAAACACAATTGTGTGTGTTTTCTGCCTGTCTCCTATAATAAGGTAATGCCACTGAATACAAGAGTCATCCTGTGTTCCGAGTGTGTTCATGACTGAGTGTGGTGAATTGCAGATAAATAAGTTTGGGAAATTTAACTTGGGGGGCAGACAAAGAGTCCAGAGGCATTTGCATATACACCCTTCATCTGTGAACAAATTAAGTTTGAGTAAACATTACCGTATGGAAGTTATATAACTATGAGTGAGAGACAGAGAAGGGAAGAGAGGTAGGGGAGAAAGAATAAAGGTAGGGGAAGAAGCAGATATAATCAGCAGCCATATCAATCAGCTAACTCAAGTGAGTTTTTGTCCATCTCTCTTAGTTACCCTCTCAATCCTAACTCTTAGCAGACAGGAAACATAAACAGCCAGTGGGAATGTTTTGCCAGATTTCCACAGTCTCAAGGTTATAGTAATTATTTTCATGGTCTCATGGTTTTAGGTAATGATTTCCGTGGTCCCATGGTTATAGGTAATATTTGTGGTAGGTGTTAGATATTACACTTATGAGAAGCTAGCTAATGCGTTTGTGAATTGGACTTGTGTCTTCACAGATGTACTCTACTGTTAACCTTTTCTTTGCCACTCTTCTGGAGGAAGAACACTACACTGGGAATTATTCCCTTGAGTCTTCTAAGGGATAGAGACAATCCTGAAGATTTTAAAGATGGGAAAGAGTCACACAGGTTTTACTTTTAAAATTTTACTAACTCTGAAATAAATAGCAATTTTTGGTATTCCCTTCCAACTAAAAAATCTATTCACACTTTCTATTTTCTAAATTGAAATTCAAAATTCTTGAGTAAATGAAGAGAAAAATTGAGTACCACATTATTTTTTTTAGCATTGGAGAACACAGCAATAAAATTGTAAATTAACAGAAGAATGTTCATAACTGTTAAGGTGTGGGTTCTGGGAAACTGACATTCAAAACTGTATGGAAAGGAGAGAGAGTGAAGGTTTATGGTTACACTTTTTAATTGAAACATGCAAGCATCTTAAGGGAGGTTCTGGGAAGAGCTTTGCTTAGGATCTGATATTTATTGTTATGTAACTTGGGCTTCGTTCTCAGGGATCTAATGGGCAAGGAAAACCAGACATGGGTGGGTGAGTTCTTGCTCCTGGGGTTGTCAAGCGACTGGCGGACTCAGGTCTCCTTGTTTGTGCTGTTTCTGGCCATGTACTTGCTGACCGTCCTGGGAAACCTACTCATCATCATCCTCATCGTGCTGGACAGTAGGCTCCATACACCCATGTACTTTTTCCTCGGCATCCTGTCATTTGTGGACATCTGTTACACCAACAGTACGGTCCCCCAGATGCTCGTTCACTTCCTGTCAGCCTGGAAGTCCATCCCGTTTCACAGATGTGTGCTGCAGCTGTATATCTCCCTGGCGATGGGTAGCACGGAGTTCTTTCTGCTAGGCGCCATGGCCTACGACCGCTACGTGGCTATGTGCCATCCTCTGCATTACACGGTCATTATGCATGGAGAGCTGTGTCTGGGGCTGGCTTCGGCCAGTCTAGCTGCTGGGCTCACAAATTCACTAGTGCAGACCCTCATGATCTTCCAGTTACCCCTGTGTCGTAAGGTCGTCGATCACTTTGCCTGTGAGATTCTGGCTGTGCTGAGGCTGGCTTGTGTGGACATCTCGCTCAACAAGGTCATGGTGGCCATCTCGGGTTTTCTGGTGATTATGCTCCCCTGCGTCCTGGTGCTCTTTTCCTACGCTCACATAGTCGCCACCATTCTTCGCATTCGCTCTTCCCAGGGGAGACGCAAAGCCGTTGGGACTTGCGCCTCTCACCTCACGGTGGTTTCTATGTGCTTTGGAACAGCCATCTTTACATACTTGAGGCCTGTGGGCACATCCTCAGCTGGGCAGGAGAAGATGGTTGCTCTCTTCTATGCTGTTGTGACCCCAATGCTCAACCCCCTCATCTACAGCTTGAGGAACAACGACGTGATTGGGGCTTTGAAAAGAGCATTAGAGAAACCAAAGGAAAAGAAATAGATGAGAATGATTTCTTCTCTCCAACAGTCCACCAAAACACATCCCAGATAAGTAGGAAATGATTAATATTCACTTTCTTCCTAAATTTTCTTTCGGTGTGGCTTATATTTTTGTAACATGTTGTAGTTTTAACTACCTATTGGTAAACCGAAAACAAAAATCAGAAACCAACAAAAATGCCCTTCATTCTTAGTTCATATTCTGGTTCTAATCATCAAGTAGACTGTAATCTTCTTGGGTAAAGGTATGTAGATTTTTACCTCACGTGTTTCCGGCACATTAGAAATTCAATTGAATTCCTGCTGATTGATAATCCATTTAGTACATTCTTCACAGTTTCAGGTGACTTTCTGAACTATTACAGAGGGAATACTTGTTCAGTTTAAGGGTGTTACAAAATAAGTTGTTTATTAAAGTCTCAGGTAAAATGTGAGCATGAAGTTCCTCCTTCTTTAACAGAGGGTTACGGAAAGTGTTAGATGCTGGGAGAGAGTGTGTCAGTTTTCTCTGAGTGCAGGCCCAGGTAAGTGAAACACACTCCGTGGAAGGCCACACTTCCAAGAATAAATGAGCAGTATAAATTGGACTTGAGGAGTATGGCAAAAAGAAAAGAATTCATAAAACTGGGTTGGTAGAAAAGAGGAGATATATCTTGAAAGATTTGTGGGAGAGGTGATTAAAACATATGATAAAAAAGTCTCAAAGAACTAATAAAAATTATAGTAAATCTAAGTTGTATATTTAATAGTTAAGACTTCTCTATTCTTGCCAGGCATTGGTGGCACACGCCTTTAATCCTAGCACTAGGGAGGCAGAGGCAGGTGGATCTCTGTGAGTTCAAGGTGAGCCTGGTCTACAGAGCGTGTTCCAGGACAGCCTCCAAAAAACAATACAGAGAAACCTTGTCTCTAAAAAAACCAAAAAAGAAAAAGACTCCTCTATTCTATAGATGTTTTTTTTTGCACAAGTCCTTTGTTAGTTTTTATAAATTAACAAATTGTTTTTATTACATTATTTTCATTTTTCTCTTGCCATCTGGGAAGCCATTCAACATGTCTATTGTAGTAGCTGTGTATGAAATTGTATATACATAATTTACTATTTCATTGTTTATACTAGTTTTTATGCTTAGCCACATATTTTACAATTTACACATAGCTCTAGTCACATACCATATCGATGTAGGCTAACCCACCGTATTTCTATTATTTCAGCTCTCATTCTTGATGATATCCCCTCAACTCACTAACACCATGACAATAACACATGAAAATTTCTTCAGGGCACACACACAGGAATCAAGTTGCTAGAAGTTGGGAAATGCTATCCAGAATGGCATCTGAGGTCTGCACCCTTGATTCAGTGGATGTGATCTTTACACACGCTCAGCCTCACCAACACTTAGCGTGTTTTGAACTTTTACAGAGGGACTTGTTTATTACTGATTGCTCCTCTGCCCTGTCAGCTTGCACGCCATCCCCCAAATTAGGAGAGCCAGTCTGCAGCAAAGAGACATCTGAGTCAATTCCAGATAGATACTTCTAAGTCCTGTGTTTGGAGTGTGTGGTGCCTTTGACGAGGGGGTCTTAAAGTCAAGTTCTGGGAGGCAACCAAAGGCAGTGGCAATATCTATTATTATTCTGGGAGTCTCTTTCATTTCTCTGACCAAGAAATCAATGGTAGTTAGGCATCTCACCCCCAGATGAAGAGCTACAAGTTCTCAGTGTCTGCTGAGACAAGGAGAATCAGCCTCCTCAAGGGACAAGGTCCTGCAATGGTTGTCCTGCATTGGTTGTCCAATATCAACTGGTTAGCCCTAGAAATATGTAAATACTGTAAAAAACTAAGTAGAATTGATAGATTATGCACACACATATACTCGTGTGTGTGTGTGTGTGTGTATGTTTGTGGTGTGTGCGTGTGTGTCTGGGCATACATGAAGATATCATGGCATGTATCTGGAGGTTAGGGGACTTTAAGTGTCCGTATTTATTTTATGGGCCAAGGTTATATAGTCAGACTTTCCTTTGGACCACCAACTCACAAATAATAGTGTGAGGACTTATTAATTATGAAAGCTTGGCCTGCAGCTTAGGCTTGTTCACAACTAGCCTTTATAACTTAAATAAATCCATTTATATATTAATCTACACTCCATCATGTGGCCTTGCCACTCTTCCATTTTGCACCTCCTGTTTTCTCGTCACATCTCCTGGTGTCTCTTTTATGCCTAGATTCATCCTCCCCTTCCTTTCTCTCCTTGGAAATCTCACCTATGCCTCCTGCCAAGCTATTGTCTATTAAGCTTTATATTACACCAATCACAGCAATATATTTTCACACAGTGTACAAGCATCTCACAACATTTCCCTTTTGTCTAAATAAAAAGAAAACTCTATACAATAAGAATGATTATCAGGTAAGGATTACATTCACAATGTCCAGTCTATCTGCATTTGGCAAATTCAGGAAAAAAATTCCATTATCTATTCTATATCTTGGTGAGTTCAAAGTTTTATACCTAATTTGCTTTTTATCCTAACTCATATTCCATCCTAAAAATGTTTTTTCAGACCTTAAAACATCTTAGGGAAACAACTTAAGCTTTTATGTTTCTCAAAATTATAAACTTTTACGTCTCTTATGTAAGTTTCTTTTCTAAATTTCGTAATAACTGTCACTATAACCACTTGGTCTTCAACTCCACCAAAGACCAAAGGAGGATATACTATTACCTGAATAACCAGGAAGGGCAGAACAAGCAACCTCCAAAACTATAGAAATGACAGAAACAGCTGGCTGCATGTATGTCATCCAAGGTTCCTCTGCATTGTTGGGGCATCCATCTTTGGCCTACAGGCGGGGAATACCTGACACATTTTTTTTGTGAAGCAGGAAATTTTTGAAGGACTGTCCTACCTTGTATTGGCAAAGTACAGCAGTCACCTTATTTTGTGTCCTGCTTGTCAAATTTGGACAACATATTGTCGGCAGTCAAAGCAAGGGTAGTTTCTTGTCCAAGTGCTATCTTTGCCTCATTAAAATCAAACTCCATGTGGAGGTTCTTTGATACCTGTCATCCTCTTTTGAAGTGACTATCTTTTGAAGTAAATTGATGCTGCTAGGAGCAGACATGTCTCACTGTCATGAAACGCCTTATGTTATTAAAACATTTTAAGTGTCATATTTTGTAGGTCTTTGAAGTGTTTGAAGACTATCTATTTAGAATTACCTCTGTTTGCCCTGAAAACATACTGACCATAACTATAAGTTTCATTATAGACGACTAGCTACTAACCTATATTTCTTTGTTATATCAATTAAAATATTTGAGACTAGTAGTTGCTTTTTAGTTCAAAAGTAGATTCCCCAATCCACCCTTTGATTATATCATGTTTATAGTATACTCCCCCCTTTTCTTTCAAAAAGAGATTCCTGAATATAATATCCTTTGTTCAGCTGTTTTACTGACCCTGACAAATAACAACTTACAAACCATCCCCCTAAATGATGACAAACATTCATAACTCATAGAGTGATCAAAAGCCACCCTCCCCACATCTTGGGAATGTGTGTATAGTGTTCTCTAGACTGCTTACTGTTGTCTGGATGTGATAGCTTCTTATGGAGACCCTGAGAAAACTGAGATCATGGTAAAGTCTTGGGAGAGCTAGCTGTATTATTTTTTGTTTAATCTCTGTGTGATGGGAGACTGTAAGGTTTATCTGAAGTCTTGATTGGATAGTCTGTGAGGTTGCACCATTTCATCTAGCGGCTTCAAAGTTGTTCTGGATGCAGAATATAGAGGAAACTGAAACAGAGGCATAATGAGAGGCTGGATCACTTGGGCTACTTGTCTTTGTTGATGTCTGGTCCTTTATTCTGAAAAAAATAACACACAAACTTTTAAAGTAATACGTATATCGGCATTAACACAAGTATGGATTGTGAGATGTGCACAGGTCAGCTAACATTATTTTCTTTTTTATGTTTAAGAAGGTAAAAGGCACCTGTCAACTTTATAAGTCTGTTTGAACTGTGATCAAACCTCTGTCCATAACATAAGAAAGGATAGCATGTAATAAGTCATGAGGACTCTGTGGCCAACAAGATTTATCATGTCTCATCCAGTCTCAAAGCTGTTCCATGAAGCATGATCAGCATATTCATTGCCTATCTTGTAGTCTTTTCTGTCTTTCCCACACATCTGTAACCCAGACCCTCAGGAAGTCTTCCCTGATCAAATCTGATCTCTATTAACTTTGAGAAAATTTAAAACTTTTCAATTCCTGTGGAACCAAAAGCACAACCTCTCCCCGAGTGCAACACATTTTCTTACTTCCTTTCTGAAGTTAAGATAGTCTTAAAATATATAGGTTTGTTTAATTTAGCAGTTTCCATAATCCAATATCTCTCAGCAGCTATTGATTTTTGTTCATTAGCATTAAAAATTTGAAAGTCAACAGAGCACCACACAGGATCCAGACACCCTGTGTGTTTCCCATCTTTATGTGGCTTTTTTCTGTAATTTCACTTTACTCTCTCTTTGAAAGACTTCACTTTATTATTTTTTTCTAGGACTGTATATACCCATTTTTTACTGTACATTTAGAGGTTTCCTCAGCCTAGAGAGCTGTACTACGTGCCTGCAGACTACTCTGATTATGTGAGCAGGCCGAGTAACTCTCCACCAGTGTCTGGTTCTGTCCTGCTTGAGTCCATGAGAAGAAAGGCGATCCTTACACCCCCAGTACCAGCCAGTAGAAGCATTTGCCCTCCCTAGCTCTGAGAATTTGTTGAGCCGGTGCTATTTAGCATGCCAGCTGTTCTAGTGCTCACCATACAGCAACCACACCTCTGCAAGTTGCAAACACTGAGTTACTAGGAAGCCACGTCCGTGTGGGATTTTTGTTTGTTTCTTTGTTTTTAAGATTTCTCAGGCCCTATATGGAAATACATACCCAGAGGTTGGGTGCAATATGTAGTCAGACTTTCCTTTG